GATAGCATATTACGACATCCGTTTATTGCAATTGGAAACTAGATTTGTAAGAAAATATCCGCAAACCTACACAAGCATTATTCCAACTGAAAATCGGTCAAAATAAGGAGCAAATAAGAGATTTAAACAAAGGTGCAAGCTAAACTCTATGGATATTAAGACCAATGGTTTGGGAAAGTTCAGCCTTAACTGCAAAGAACATTTGCACAATTTAAAAAAAATTAATTGATATTGAACTTCAATAATCTGGTGATATTCCAATTATGATTACAACTGGAGCAGACATTAAGAATATGGCCATGGAAATCTAATTCATATTAATTCGTAAAAGTATAATCTGATTGAAATTTTGAATTTTAAAAAAATCGTAACTAATTACCATGAGATGATAGTATCCAGCAATTGGGCTGACATTTAGTTCTTTAAATTCATGGTAAAGTCGGTTTATCTGCTTGGCCCTCCTTTATGCTCTTTCAGTGAGAGGCAAGCCTTCATAAAATTAGATAATGTCTGTACGAGTACATATTGCTTCATGAAGTATAGACCATATAATACATCAGATTAATTTTCTATGTTGCCATATACTTCATATACATTTTGTATAACAAATAACCAATTCTTTATCCATTCTTTATCAATTAACAAGAAATGATTTTTGAGTATTTATGAGGAGGATCACATTTTTAACTTTGGCTGGCCTGTCTACACACCCGGGTGGCCACATTATCCATCAGATTACTTCCTATCAAGCGACAAATTGGCCTATTTTGAATTGTGCTTCCTCCGCCATTACCTGTCATCTGGAATTATTGTCAACTTTTAGAAATGGCTAAACAGATTCGACCAGTCCTTTAACAGATGTCAGCAACAATGATTTATACAAGATGGAAATCAAATGAATGGTCAACAAATGATTAATTTATTTCAAACCCAGTATGTAAGCTATATTGAATTTGATTTCTAAATCTTTATCTTGAATAAAGATCTTTAAGACTTAATTTCTGAAGCTACCTTTTCTATATAAGTCAGTTCGACATAAATTCTAAAGCATGCTCTTTGATATAGTTTCGATATCGATATATAAGTATTGGTTTAACCTTACACTCCGCATTAGCATTTGGTCTCATCCTTTACGGATGATGCCGCCCTTAACTCTTTAACTACTTACTCCTAATTTAAAGAATTTTGTCACACTATCTGCGATTTTTCACATGACTCATTCGACAGGAATATATCAACATATCATTTCCGATGTTGCATGATGAAGACTAGAATATTGGTACATTTTATAACTTTCATGATGTCGTTGGCGATTTTTCAATATTCTGAATTCTTGTTTACCGGTACACCTAGTCTTATTCTCCTTACTGCGTCTATTTTCTTCCATCGTCCATATCTTCCACTAGCTTAGAAATACTGTTATCACGAGGTTGAATTCTGGATGCTTTTTCTTTTTGTATTCAATCGATAAAATTATGATCATATTCCCTTTTGCCTGTTTGAAGGCCTATTGCTTGATTTCCCCCTCCCTCCCCCTTTTTTTAGAATTAAACATCTCCCGAGGGACCTCATAACATGAATTTTCCGTACCATAATTCCACGAATGTGAAATGTTGATTTCTTTATGGCGTTAGGTTACAGTGATTACATTCTGATGTACATGTTACTGATACAGAATCGTTTGTAGCTTTTCTATCGGTTTAATTACCCTATTTACATAACAATACATCCTACTATGTGGTCAGTGCATATACTACCTTTCATATGCAGAGTTGAATCAATTTCATAAAGGCAAAATGCCCTTTCCTTTACAATTATGCCGTCAGGTTTTCACGACAACAAAGGGAATGGCGAAAGGCGTATTTGTTGAGTAAATGTATTCTGCACGTTATTACACAATGAAACAATACAGATGAAAGTGTACATATAGTAATTGCTTTGTGAATAATTTACATTTGATTGATGCAGATGATAAAACTGTTGAAGTTCACGTTTGTGTTAAACTATCCATGATATTAATCGTCCTAGGAAATTAGCATTTGCTTTTTCCATACACCTATACATAGAAGGTTTCCTTTCGATGCAGAACGATTTGCCCTGGAAAACATTTCTATGCATGTTTGCATGGGCTCTATTGAGGCTGTTGTTTATTTTTCACGTACAATTTGGTCCTGGGTGTCTGCAGTCGTAAACATGTATAAACAGCAGGATAACGAGAATTATTGTTCTTACTTCACGAATGATAGAGGCAATCCATGATAATTGAACCAACGTGTTTATCTTCAGCTTAAATGTCCCTTTCAGTTAACGCTAGCGTTTTTGTTTTTGAAGCTTAATGTGGATGAAACATGGTTTATTGCCCGTGTACACACCAATAAACTGCACATCGTTCTCCGTTAAAAAGTGTTCTCTATTTCAGAATGCAGTTTATTGGCATCCTGGCCTCAGTGTTGTTGCGCGAGAATAGATATCGCAGCATGTGTAACATCAGTGAATCCCTGTTCCACACTGCTTTCTCTGATAGCATAACGTATCAAAATATATACCAATATTTGAATATAGTTTTGCATTGCCAATAGTTGCGGGAAACATATCTTCAGATAATGTTAACTGATGATAGAGTTTCCTGAAACGATGCCTGTTGATATATATTTTCCCCTTGGGAATGTTTGTCAGACGCTGCTAATTAAGGTAAAAGTATTATCTTGTATACTGGAATATTTCGGTTGAGTAGAATGGGCGGCTGTTCGTTAGCATCAATGGGTGTCAAACATCCCCATACCACTATAATTGGAATCAAATCTGGAACATTTTGGTAAGTACACAGTTTAGATATTCCTGGATTCGCTAACACTATGCGTACTGGTCAGCGAATCTTGTTTATAGCGATGTGTTGTTGTTTTGGCCTTTGATTTGTTGTTTCATTTTTTACTCTAATAAACTTCGCTGTTCTGATTTCCTCATTAGTTCTGTAAATCTTCAGCTTGTTCGCGAGCCAATTTTGAGTGTATACTAGTATAACTTGTGTTCGCTATTGATATCATAAACGCCAAACATAAACTCATCTCACTGAACATGACGACACCCAGAATCATTTGTATTGTATAGTCAGTAAATTCCAATTAGAAAATTAAAGGTGATGTTCTGCTGTTGCAATTTGTCTTGGAACAGCTGTGGAAAGAGATTTCAGATTTAATCTAAAACCTAAAATTCTATGTAAAAGATGATCAAGTTAGCCTTGGTAACAAGTGCCACATCCATTTTGTACTAACACCAGTTTGAGATATATTCAGCCCGTAATTTTCCTTTCTAAAGGCATGCCTCTCCCTGGGGAAGTGTAATCTGACACGCATAAGGGAGCGTTTGTTTTGTGGAACATTATGAATATGAACACATTCCTTATCTTAATCATGCAATTTGATATGTTTAAAACGAGTTCCAATTTTAAAGAAATATAACTTAATAATGTTTTGTCAAGGCTGAAAATGACATTTGCATTTAAAGTCTTACATTTTGCTTGCAATACATAATCAAGAGCACACTCTTAGAAGGAACAATGCGTGATTCGAAGTACAACATACACCATGATATTGTAGATCATGCGTCTATATAAATGCTATAATACGTTACGGAGCACTCCGATAATTGTATCGATTACATATTGATTTTTTTAAAATTAATAAAAATGTGATCTCTATCAACATAATTTGGATTTACCACATGTCGCTAGATGTTAATAATGATAAAAAAATAGTCTTTATTGAAACAGGTTAAGATTAAATCTCGCTATAAAATTTGGTCGTCATGTCTCAAACCATTTCTTTTTTATATTTGAGCATGAATGAGTTATCAAATAGAGCTTGATTATTTTACAAATACCCACTATAGAGAATATGACACAGAGGTTATCAAAAACAAAAGCAAACACTTGTTTTTAAACGATTAAACCATGATTGGTAAAAATCACGTGGGAATCTCATGTATCTTACACATTTTGACGCACGAAAAAAAGACAGGATATGTTATATTTCAAATTAATTTGCTAAAGCAATTTCAAATGAATTTTGAAGAGATGTTTGTTATGAATCCCAGAAGACAGAAAATGAAATAAGTTGGACGACCTGGGACGAAAAGAATGACTCGTATCCTGTTGACACAGTTGTGGAAAATGTAATCACCAGCAAAACTGGGTACGTTTAATCTGCTAGGAATATTCTCTTTTGATATCACGGAGTGGTGACATTAAATCATCAAATTTTGACGGGGCCTTGTAACCTTATTTAGTATTTGTTCAAGAACGTTCAATATTAAGCTTGATATATTGATGTGGAAAGCGATGGATTACTAAGACGGACATGTGAATTATGTCATATTTTCGTTTTCGATTCCATGGGGTTTCTGACAGCTAGTGGGATGATGAGCAGACGTATAAGCCAATCACAGCGGAACGCGGAAAGTAAGGCTGTCTTAGCCGCTGTTTCGTGATCAATACGACACGCTGGCATGCTACTGGCTACAAGGGCTTGCAAACATCCCACCACTCGGATATAATGCCTCGCGTTGAAAGCTTTCCGTCCTCTTCAAAGAGCATGTTTCTCCAAAACTAGACTATTAAAATCGCCGACAAATTATCAAATGCAATGAAGCAACGGTAGGTAGTCACGCTGTATATCTCCAGAGATTTATTGATCACGAGATTGTGAGACAAGGACAGACAGTTTTAAGGTCATTTCTTGAAATTTCTGAGCAGTTCAAAAATTTTGACCTTTTGATGTCAACAAAAAATTACTGAACTTCTTCAAAGCAATGTGTTTATATTGCTTAATGTTCGTGAACATATCCTTATCTATCAAACAGCGTCAACAAAGAGGAGGACAAAACATTACTGATGGAATGATTCACCGATTCAGATGTCAGCAAATTATTTTTTCAGTAAAAGAAACAAATCAACGTCAACGTCTTTGAATATGAAGATACAACAATAGTATTATTCCAACCAAATGGCGGATAATTCATCTTTCGAATTTCTGTCAAAGGAAAACATCAGCGAAGATTCAACGAATGTAACAACGATGACTGACGATAACACATATCTTATTATTATCAACGGTTACGTCGTCCCTGCCCTTGCCATTGTTGTGCTCCTGACGAATACCGTCGTGATCGCCGTCCTTCGTCGACAGCAGACTTACGGCGCGAGCCAAGCTGGGCTGGTAGGGATCGCGGTATCAGATACGCTTACGTTGATCCTACCAGCTCCATTTTATTTCTATTCTTATGGACTTGGTAACTACGAAATACAGTTTGGCTGGTGTCAAGCGATGGACTGGATAGCACTTTATCTTCCAACCATTTCACATACAGCGTCAATATGGCTGACCGTCTATTTGACCCTACAAAGATATTTTTACGTGTGTCTGCCCTTTAAAGCACGAGGTTGGTGCACCCTGCGGTATACCATAATTTGTATCGTCCTTATATACCTAATGGCAGTCGTTGTCCATATGTGTCGGTTTTTTGTGTTCGAGTACCACAACAACATGTACTTTGACCCATGGACCAATACTACCGTAGAGTACTGCAAGCGTGAATACCGGACATGGGTTGATTTGCCAACTTACTACTCTTCCTATCTAGGGATTAGGATAATATTTATCCAATTTGTGCCTTGTGTTTCGCTCATTATTCTCAATTGCAAAATTTTACATGGCCTTCAAACGGTGACAAACAAACGATTACAACTACATACAAATGCTGAGAGCAACCACGCCACAGTGAAGGAGAACATCCGGGTAACAGTGATGATAATCTGTATGGCGGTGATTACACTTTTGGTGGAGTTTCCGGCGGGGATAATACAACTTCTCTATGCGTTTCCCTTCATGTTCGGTTACGACATAATCGAGCCAAAGACATTAAAATATGTGGAGATCATAGCTAACTTGGTGATTATATTTTCATATCCTCTCAACTTTCTACTTTACTGTAGTATGAGTGCTGAGTTCAAAGCGACGCTCCGTAAGATATGTTGGAGTAACACGTGCGGAGAAGGGAGCCAACGAACCTATAGCCGCTGTTCTAAAAACATCCCACCTACTTCCGTTATCATGGACGATAAAGTCAGCATGACTACGAAAGTCTAATAATACCAATACACAGACAAGACAACTCGAAGGAGTTAAAATGTAAATATGAGATTAACAGACGCTCTTATACTGCTATAGTTGGAAAATAAAAAAGGGCACCAGAAATTTAGTTGATGTTTTGTTTATATTGGATTGCAAGTAAGGTAAGTCCTATTTCATGTTCAATACATACACTGATGGTGATTTAACAATAAAAGTTTTAAAAATAAAACCTAGGCATTACGTCACTTTCGGCGCAATTGCAGCTTATATCTATTAAGAAATACTATTCTAACTTTCACTTTGCAAATATCTGAAAGTGTAGTGTATCGCGTAACGTGGTGGGAAACAACTGCTAATTCTACAAAGGTTATGTCATTGATTAACGCTATTTAAAAGAATCAAACAGTTTCTTATAATACTGTCGCTTGTATCATTATTACAGGATCTGGCATCCGCTTGCTTATCGTGGCGTGAAAATATGCATTAATCTCGATCAAATACTGTAATAAGTATCGTGAGAAAGTATGGTAAATAATAATTTCAAATCATCGCATGAATTCACATGGGTACAACACCAAAAAACAACGTTGTCAAATGAAGCATCGTATATCGTTGTGCATAACGGCTGATACATACAGGAAGTTTCCGCTAAATTAGACGGTAATTTGACATCAAATAAACAAGTGTGTAGTGTTGATTCATTCACGGCAGATAACAATACTGTTAGACTCCTAGGTAGCCTAACCGATGAAATAGCAGTTGATTTCACGTTATATAAAATATGCACAAGGATTTTGCAACTAGGTTGTTTTAACCAATATGAAAGCTCTAAAAAAGCTATAATCTGACTACACCTTGGTGTATGGCAGACATCTTAAAGAAACGAAAATTATATTGACGGCTTATAGCTGTGGTACCAGATGCATTGCCTCAATTGTAATGTAAAATTGTGAAGCGACGGACGACAGTGTCGTTACACAGCTATCTGTTCGTAATTAACGTAAGCGCTATGTACATTAGCTCGCCACCAGTATCAAATTATCCAATTATTAAATTCTACCCGATTTCATCGCTCCCGGAAAATTTGGTTAAAGAATCGAGTTACAAGGTTGTAGCTACCTTTCAAATGGCGAACTAAACTAATGAACAAAATACGACGAAGTTCTGAGACTTTTTTCAATATTCACTTCGAGCTGTAATTATACAAAATGAATCGCAGATGATGCCCACTGAATCGGAATGAATCATTTTGCGTCGTTCAATTTAGAATCATAATGACACACGTGGAATCACGCCGGATTTCCAGGAGAAATATCACCGACCTGCGGCCAGTACCCCATCACTCCCTCCCTCTCCTTCCACTTAACATATAAAAACCTCGTTAAACAAGATAATTTATGTTGGTGGTTTATCATTGCTTTCAATTAGTTTTTATTTACTTTTATAAGTCATTTGAAAACCAATTGTTGCTTACAATAAATTTGTTTTTTAAACGTTTACAATATATATTTCCGACCTTTGCTTATAAGCGCGTGATGACTTAGATTTCTTTGCGTGAATTTTCCATTACTATATAACAATATCCTTGTTTCCTCATGTATGATGTAAACATTTTACTTTTACTGTTGAGTACATATTCAATAGTTGTTCCATATATCATAATTTTCATTCAAGTTACAAAGTTGACCGATAAACTCACAACAAGGAGATTCGAGATATACAGAATGAAGAAAGTCTTTGTAGACGTTATATAAATAAAACTAGGTATTATTCTCTTTCCTTGATGGCTATGATATTTTGGAATATACCATTGCTCAATTGACGAAACCTTTCTTCCGGAACGCCTGTTCATATCATCTTTGTACTTTTTAGGAGTATCCGTGTAAATCTCGCTTTTGTTCATATTTACCCAAGTTTCATTGGATTTAAATTTGAATTTGATTCGAGATTCTGATATTATGTCGGTATCTTATCTGTTTGATACTCCGTTGTTTTGTTAACGTTTCGTATATTAACGAAATTTCTTTATTTCATTTATTGATTTTGTTAAAGGACGCCTTCTTTATCAGTTGTTAATTTATTATGATTCATAATGATTTTCAAATACATCTTGCAAGAAAAAACTGATATAGTCAATATTGTCGAAACACAGTTCTGCCTCCAATTGTTTCCATTTCCCTCAGTCGGAAGCCATTTGTAAATTTCCGCCAACATTAAAGTGTGACGTCACAACATGATTAATCGCCAATTGCAAAGACAGAAAAACAGGAAAATCCGAACAAGTTCCGATCCGAAAACATGCATGTGTAATTGACCTTTGCTGTTACGCTTTCATAACTAATATTTGAAGTGGGATTTTATACGCCTTTGCATTTTATACGATAACAGTTTTAAGTCTGATAATCAATCGGCATATCTTGTTGGAATACAAAACATCTACATGTAGACTTTGCACTTAATTGAACATATGATCTAAAACATATTTCAAAAACATCCGGTAAAAAATACGTTTATTGAAGACGAAAACTTAATAAAAACAAAGAAATAATACTTCTATTTAAGCTTTCTAAGCAGGAAATACCATTTAGGTCCCATGATCAGATAACCATAATGGTTAAATTGAAGAATACGTCATAATACAGTACTTGTTACATATTCCTTGTATATCAATCCCCAGGGATGATTATATTTCAAACGTGAAAAATATCTTGCACTTTATTGGTCATATACGAGCAGTTTTGTTCCAAGTATGCTATTAATAACTTCCTGGTTTGACAATCTTTCTAGAAATGTTAGTGATGATGATAATGTTTATTGGCATAGCTAGGAAATGAGACTCATAAGACGAATTGCTAAATGTTGATGTCCTATTTATGAAATTGGAAAGAATATTTGAATTGTTCTTGATTGCTTTTGTTGCAACGACATGATCATGAAATTTCATAAGCGAACTATGGCGTTGAATAATTACTACAAATACACTTATTTAAAAATGAGAGAGTATATTTTGTGAAAATGGTGTATTCAGTTCAAAGTATATTCTCGTAAGGGGCCAATTGAGGCCCAACATTATAGTGTCATTTTAAGGAAATGTCGCAAGCACGCCGATATATCATCACTTGCGATCCACTATCTTGAGATGGCAACGGGGAAATAATGCTCCTTGATGATAGTGAAGCTTTGGGAAAGAAAGAACCTCATCTTTCATGCAAGGAAATGTCCAACTTCAATGCTGAAAATAGGGCAGTTTCAGTGGATTAATGATGAAGCTGTTCTACCGGAAGGTCTTAAACATCGTGTCTGCTGTACAAACTGCATAATCGTAAGGTTGACTAAGTTTCAAACCTTCATATCTTCTCATCGTAGTCCTTAAATTACAGGGGAAATTCGGGCTACATTTGATATCTTTTTGCGTGCAATGTATAAAAACGTTATGAATTAGACTGGAGTCTTTCTTACCTGTTATTAGGTACAGGACGGTAAGGACTTTCATGGTTTCGTTTTCAAATTTTCCCTTATTGTCATACTATTGAACCACACAAACATGCGACTTATTATTTTAGATTGTTCGTTAGACCTAGTGTGATGTGAAGCATTTCTGTAACGTTAGCCCAAAACAAACCATTGTATAGGATAGAACAGACTTCTTGGTAATTACTCTTTATCTTGAAACAACAACAAAAGGCAATATCATATGAATCCGCATGTCAAAATATAATTTATGGAGTGACATTTGATACCAGGCATTTATTATTTTGCTGGGTTTTTCGCGTTTTTATATTTTATATAGCTCATTTTACATCTAAATAGAGATCCAGTTCCTCGCAGGAACATGTCACAATGAGCATGGGGTTTAACTAGTTACTCCATCAGTATTATAGTCAAAACCAGAAAGGATTCACTATCTTGCTTATCAGTTCATAATATTCTGAGAATAAAGCAAAACATCATCCCAAGCTTTTATAGCTTGTGTTCTGTTCTGAGCTAACATGAAAATCAATAACATATGATTTTACTGGACAAATCTGGAGAACCTACTTTTATAAATTACCTTCTATTATAGAACCGGGGAAATACATCACATCAAACGAAATAATTTTTTTTTACAAAGAGACATTCAAACATGTCAAAAACAGGTTTTTTCTTTTGAGTTAATATCTGAACAGATATTCAATAAATTAAGGGCACCTCTGCTTATTGAGGTAACAAATTGTTTTCTTGATCAAAAATTGGTTTTCTTGAAGTTGCAGGAAGGATGAATTGGTTCAATGCACCAAACAATCCGCGTTATATCTTTTAAATTGCATCTCGATTTATAATTTAATGCGTTGCATTCTCTGTGACCTCGAGAAGCGAATAAGTCTCAAATAGTTTTGGCACTGATGAAAAAGGAAGTTAGGGCGCTGTAAGAACCAAAATATGTACGTTTACCTCGTTCAGGAATATAAGAATGTAGCATAAGAAAACCCTTAAATCGAGTCTAAGACTGGTAAGGTGTATGTAAGTATTGTATTGATCGTACAAGTAACCGTTTCTGCGATATATATTAACTAACTAATGGACGGACATTCGTGGATAATATTCATGTAGTCACAGCTGTCGGCTTTGAACCTGCATTATCTAGATATACGCATGGCAATATCCATAATGAATATGACGCCATTAGTGAACGGTCAATGACCTGGATGACCAAAAAAGCCATAAACGATATCTCAAAGCTGTATTATCATCAATAACCTGATGGGGTAAATATTACTTGGACTTGAAAAACGTATATGTAACCAAATGTATAATTATACCTTTAGGATCTCGGCTTTTAATACATTAAAATCTCATTCATTCTCGAACATCCCAGTTCATGACAGTCCATCAACACAGAGAAAAATATTAGTGCCAGCAATGGTGGGCACACAGATGAAAAAGGACGTGACATATAACAAAGAAAAAGCTTTATAAGACTAGTGTCAAGATACGTACATCTGGCTATGTTAAGTCATATCTTGCGGTACAAACTG